AGTCCACACGCAATCCAAAGTAGAAGAAGAAGAAAAAGAGGTCATCACACAACATTTTATTCTTAATCAATAAAAAACTATTTTATGGATGCTAACGATGACGGCGACGATAAAAAAATCGAAGACACAGTTCGCAACATTGCAAAAGTTTGCCAAGAAAAGAGGTGGACGACGACGATGAGGGAGTTCCATTTTCGAGTCTATTAAAAAGTCGTAAAAAATCATGGAAATTTTCAACTATTTAGAAGAAGAATGTGAAACCGAGAAGTGGGAGGAGAGAGAGAAAAAATGCAGTAACACAATAAAATCCGCTGCATGTCATGAATTCAGACCATTGGCACTTTTTGGAGTAAGTACTCCTGCATACTCCACCACTCGACCCCCTAGTCTTAAACAACAATGTAACACAGTAAACAACAAAAACAAATCACCCCAAAAGAAAAAGTCTGCCATGGCCCCTCCTCGCCTCGCCTGACTTTTCCTTTGGGGTGCCAGCCTGCCCGCCCTTTTATTGGCACTTTTGAATTGACGTCCAGCATTCACTACCGACAGTTTGCAGTTGTATCTCGAGATTTACTCAGGAAGTTGAGGCCAAGCCAAAGACCCCAAATTTAATGTGAAGGCCCAGACATGGGACGGGACGGAAGAAGCCACGTCATAAGTGAAACGAGGGAGACCTCAATTTGTATTGAAGCCATGCACCCAACAAAAACAACCACTCTGCAAAAAAACACACAAAAATGAAATCGTCCATAATAATGTAATAATGTGCACTTAGAGTAGCTTCTACAACAACAACAAAAGCATTCTGGGAAAATTAAAAAAACAGAGCGAACAAAAACATGCCGATCGGCATACAACGCCAACACGTCATTATTGACATATTGCCACAGAGGAGGAGGCAATGCAAAGAAAAAAGAGCATCAGCCGAGCTGGCCAGTCGCCTCATATGATGAATGGTTGCCATTGTGGCGGGGGCATACACACATTTGTGAGTGTCTTCTGTCCCACAAGACAACAAGTGAGTGGTGAAAAAAAAAATGTCGAATGCGAAGAGGGTGTGGAAGGAGGTAGTATTTTTCAATGAATGACAATTTTTTTGGTTGAGGTCTTTGATGAATAGAGGATGCGAATGTTTGGAATTTTTAAGGGACTAATTTTTATCAAATCCAAATATTTTTCTTGGGGACCTATATAAGGAGTGGATATTTTAAAGAAGAATTTTTCGGGACCTACATAAGGCGTGGATTTTTTTAAAAGAATATTTTTCGGGATCTACATAAGGCGTGGATTTTTTAATGAAGCATTTTTCGGGATCTACATAAGGCGTGGATTTTTTAAACGAATATTTTTCGAACAATGTTCCAAGGCTGTCAGAGGATGAAGGATATTTTTCGGGACCTAAGGCGTGGATTTTTTAAACAAATATTTTTCCGGGACGTCAATAAGGCGTGGATTTTTTAAACAAATATTTTTCCGGGACCTCAATAAGGCGTGGATTTTTTAAACAAATATTTTTCCGGGACCTCAATAAGGCGTGGATTTTTTAAAGTAATATTTTTTCGGGACCACAATAAGGCGTGGATTTTTTAAAATAATATTTTTTAGGGACCTCAATAAGGCGTGAATTTTTTAAAATAATATTTTTTAGGGACCTCAATAAGGCGTAAATTTTTTAAAATAATATTTTGTAGGGACCTCAATAAGGCGTGGATTTTTTAAAATAATATTTTGTAGGGACCTCAATAAGGCGTGGATTTTTTAAACGAACATTTTTCGAACAGTGTTCCAAGGCCGGCAGAGAATGAAGGATATTTTTCGGAACCTAAGGCGTGGATTTTGTAAACTAATATTTTTTCGGGACCTAAGGCGTGGATTTTGTAAACTAATATTTTTTCGGGACCTAAGGCGTGGATTTTGTAAACTAATATTTTTTCGGCGTGGATTTTGTAAACTAATATTTTTTCGGGACCTAAGGCGTGGATTTTGTAAACTAATATTTTTTCGGCGTGGATTTTGTAAACGAATATTTTTTCGGGACCTCAATAAGGCGTGGATTTTGTAAACGAATATTTTTTCGGGACCTCAATAAGGCGTGGATTTTGTATACGAATATTTTTTCGGACCTCAATAAGGCGTAGGTTTTGTAAACGAATATTTTATCCGGACCTCAATAAGGCGTGGATTTTGTAAACAAATATTTTATCGGGACCTCAATAAGCGTGGATTTTGTAAACGAATATTTTTTGGGACCTCTTTGATAAATGGAAGATGCGAATGTGTGGATTTTTTTAATGGACTAATTTTTATTCTTGGGGGCCTACATAAGCAGTGGAGTTTTTAAAAGAAACATTTTTCGGGACCCACATAAGGCGTGGAATTTTAAAGAAGAATTTTTCGGGACCTACATAAGGCATGGATTTTTTAAACGAATATTATTTCGGAACCTATATAAGGCGTGGATTCTTTGAAGGAATATTTTTAAGGCGTGGATTCTTTGAAGGAATATTTTTAAGGCGTGGATTTTTTAATGAAGCATTTTTCGGGATCTACATAAGACGTGGATTTTTTAATGAAGCATTTTTCGGGATCTACATAAGACGTGGATTTTTTAATGAAGTATTTTTCGGGATCTACATAAGGCGTGGATTTTTTAATAATGCATTTTTCAGGATCTACATAAACCGTGTATTTTTTAATAATACATTTTTCGGGATCTATATAAGGCGTGGATTTTTTAATGAAGCATTTTCCAAGACCGGCAGAGGATGAAGGATATTTTTCGGGACCTAAGGCGTGGATTTTGTAAACGAATATTTTTTCGGGACCTCAAATAGGCGAGGATTTTTTAAACAAATATTTTTCCGGGACCTCAATAAGGCGTGCATTTTTAAATGAAGCATTTTTCGTGGCCTATATAAGCCTTAGAATTTAAAAGAATATTTTTTGGGACCTACATACGGCGGGAAATTTTAAAGAATATTTTTTAACAAGATTTCTAAGGCTGTCGGAGGCTGTCAGAGGCTGAATGACCTTTTTCTAAGCATATCGGAGGCTCTCAGAGGCTGAATGACCTTTTACCAAGCCTATTAGAAGCTGCATTATTTAGAGAATATTCTTTCCAAGGCTGTCGGAAGCTGTCAGAGGCTGAAGATTATTCTTTTCTTGCTATCAGAGACTGTATCATTCATATAATACTATTTTCCAAGGTGGTCAGGGGCTAAATAATATTTTTCCAAGACTATCAGAGGTTGTATCATTTAGAAAATATTTTTTCCAAAACTGTCAGAGGCCAAAGATTATTTTTCCAAGGCTATTGGAGGCTGTATCATTCACAAAATATTATTCCCGAGGCTATCAGAGGCTGTATCTTTTAGGAAATATTTTTTCCAAGGCTGTCAGAGGCTGTATCATTTAGAGAACATTTTTCCAAGTCTGTGGGATGCTGCCAGAGGCTGTACCATTTAGAGATTATTTTTTTACAATGCAGATGCTCTATCATTTAGAGAATATTTTTTCCAAGGCTATCAAAGCTCTCTCATTTTAGAGAATAAGTTTGTCAAGGCTATCGGAGGTGTTCAGAGGTTAAATAATAATTTGTCTAAAACTATCAAAGTCTGTATCATTTAGATAATATTTTTTCCAAGACTATTGGATGCTAAAGAATAATGTGTTCAATGCTATTGAAGGCTGTCAGAGGCTGAAGAATATATTTTCAAAACCTATCAAAGGCTGTATCATGTAGAGAATATTTTTTCAATGCTATAGGAGGCTGAAGAATAATTTTTCCATGTTTAAAGAATTTTGGCATGTTTAAAGAATAATTTTAAGGCTTTATCGGAGGCTTCAAGGCTATCGGAGGTGGTCAAAGGCTAAAGAATAATTTTCCTAGGCTATCATAAGCTGGTCTATATTCAGAATATATTTTTTTTTAAGGCTATCGGAGGCTGTCAGAGAGCGAAGAATAATTTTTTCAAGCCTATCCAAGGTAACATATTGAACCAATCATTTTTCAAAGGCTTTCAGATTCTATGCCATTTAAAGAAATTTTTCACTAGGCTATCGAAGGCTGTAGAATAAAAATAGCTATCAGAGGTACCTTTGTTAGGTACCCCCTAAAAAATTTTTATTCGACTCGCCCCACGAATTTGATACGAAACAGCACGTTTGTAGTGTTTCGTATCAGTTACTTCTCGTGCCTTTCCAACATTTGAGCCGCCGTCCGTTGCTGAGGTCTTGACAGATTCCCCATCGTCGGACATCGCCTCAGTCGCAGATTGACGCTGAAGTTTATTGTCGGCAAGTGCCGACACAGGACCTGTTGTAGTCCGACTTGAAGTCGGTCGGTCCACAGGGTCTGCGCTTCCTTTGTTAATGCTACAATAATCCTTCTGTGCAGACTTGGCTGGGCTGGTGTCCAGCTAATCATCAGTTAGGGTGAGATTCAGTAGCAATTCCTCCGAAAGCGTATCCCCACATTGCTCTTCCGGTATCAGTCTGTCTAACTGGTCGAAGGCTCCTCTAGACTATCGCGTATAACGTTTAGAGTCCCGTGTAGGTCATCTCCAGAACTACAGTCTTGTAAGCCAGAGACTGATTTTCATCAGTCTTGACCTGCTCGTTTGCCAAAAGAATAGCCGTTTCGTCAACATTCGGATTTGTAATTAATGTACTTGTAACAGATACAGCTGCAGGTGCAAAGGCATCCACAATTATTTAAAAAATCTACGTCTTTTGGACCCCTTAAAACGTTATAGACTTTTTTTATTTATATGGAAAATTTTCTATTCACACGTAGGACATTTTTTTATTTATATGGAAGACTATTTTATTTATATAGAGAACCATTTGTATCCTCTATTCGTCTTTCTTCTCACAATTACATTTATCATTCCTAAGTCCTAATTATTTATCGAATTTACTTACCTTTTTATTCTACTGTTAACCTAACTTATTTTCACATCCCCTTCCTCTTCATCATCCCTCGTCGGCAACTCCTCTCATAACGACAAAACAGCCGTTAAATATTGTTCCAGGACAGCTTGTGATAACGTGGAACCATTCTCTATGGCCAAAGCATAGGCCGTATCACCATTTTCATTTGTCGCCGTCATATCCGGGTCACGGGATAATATCTCATTACAAGTATGCGGATGATTACCAGCAGCGGCATACATCAACGCTGTATTACCCACAATATCCATATGTGTCGAGTCAGCACCCTTATCCAAAAGTAACCGGACAACTTCATGATGACCACCCGAGGCGGCCAGTATTAAAGGGGTGACCATTTCCGGGGCCTCTTCATTGATATTGGCACCGGCCTCAACCAATGATTGTACCGTGGCAAATTGGCCATAGTAACAGGCCTAAAAAGGAGAGAGAAAATTTAAAATGTATTATCGAAAACAAAAAAATTGAAAATCGAAATATCCTTAACTTACCCAATGCAAAGGTGTAAACCCGAAACTATCTTTAAAGTCGATATTTATGGCTTTCTGCTGTAAAATTTGTTCATCTGTCAGTTCACCTTGTCCGGCCCGTTCATGAAATGATAGTTTGACTTCAACGGGACAAAATGTGGCTTCTGTATTACCTCTTTGAAGATTGGTGAGGACGGTGGTCTGTGGTCGATATGGTAGAAAGGCGGATTTATGTTTACCCGTTTGCCCCGAAGCTGAATGATCGTGTAGGAAACTGGAAGAATGCAATGAGTTGGGAGTGGACAGAGGTGTTGAGGTGGTGGTATTTGGGGAAGGTGTATCGGTTTGGCGTTGTGACTCTTGGCTAGCTTGTGTAGATTGTGACATGATTATTCTGAAACAATAGAACAGTTTTTTTAAATAATTTTTAAGGTGTCCAAAAAGATTTTTAAAATAAAGGCGTAGATTTTTAAATATTTGTTATGGGGTCCAAACAAAGGCGTATATTTTTAAAATAATTTTTTAAGTGGTCCAACAAAGGCGTATATTTTTAAAATAATGTTTTAAGGGGTCCAACAAAGGCGTAGATTTTTTTAAATAATTTTTGAAGGGGTTTAACAAAGGCATAGATTTTTTAAATAATTTTTTAATGGGTCCAACAAAGGCGTAGATTTTTTAAATAATTTTAAAGGGGTCCAACAAAGGCGTAGATTTTTTAAATAATTTTTTAAGGGGTCCAACAAAGGCGTAGATTTTTTAAATAATTTTTTAAGGGGTCCAACAAAGGCGTAGATTTTTTAAATAATTTTTTAAGGGGTCCAACAAAGGCATATATTTTTTAAATAATTTTTTAAGGGGTCCAACAAAGGCGTAGATTTTTTAAATAATTTTTTAAGGGGTCCAACAAAGGCGTAGATTTTTTAAATAATTTTTTAAGGGGTCCAACAAAGGCGTAGATTTTTTAAATAATTTTTTAAGGGGTCCAACAAAGGCGTAGATTTTTTAAATAACTTTTAAAGGGGTCCAACAAAGGCGTAGATTTTTTAAATAACTTTTAAAGGGGTCCAACAAAGGCGTAGATTTTTTAAATAACTTTTAAAGGGGTCCAACAAAGGCGTAGATTTTTAAAATATTTTTTTTCTTGATAGAAAATTGATTCGTACAATATGTTAGCCTCCGATCTAGTCTTTGAAAGCCTTGGAAAAATTATTCTTCAGCATCTGATAGCCTTCGACAGCCATGAAAAACAATTATTCTTTTAAGTGTGCTTCTGATAATCCTAGAAAAAATATTCCTCAGATAGCCCCGAAAAAAATTATTCTTTACATGAGGCAGCCTCCGACAGCCTTAGAAAAAATATTCTCACCCGTTGAAATAGTGAGGTAATATGTGACGCGAGTTCACCCATAAGAACTAGAAAAAAATGAATTGAGGCGTCGGGTGAGTTGCCCACACTCGGCTAGAGGAATGCTCCTGTGTCCCGTGCACAAAAAAAGATACAATACGATATGTGCCTATACTATAGAGGAATTAGCCTTCTTCATATCGCATATAAAGTGCTATCCAGCGTGCTGTGTGAACGACTAAAGACAATGGTCAATGACATTATTGGACCATACCAATGCGGCTTCAAACCTGGCAAATCCACCATTAACCAGAGGCGTGAATTAAAAAAAAACTTTACAAATCCACGCCTCAGTTGGCCCTTGAAAAATATTCTTTAATAAATCCACGCCTCAGTTGGCCCTTGAAAAATATTCCCCTTGAAAAATATTCTTTAATAAATCCACGCCTCAGTTGGCCCTTGAAAAATATTCTTTAATAAATCCACGCCTCAGTTGGCCCTTGAAAAATATTCTTTAATAAATCCACGCCTCAGTTGGCCCTTGAAAAATATTCTTTAATAAATCCACGCCTCAGTTGGCCCTTGAAAAATATTCTTTAATAAATCCACGCCTCAGTTGGCCCTTGAAAAATATTCTTTAAATCCACGCCTCAAAAAATATTCTTTAATAAATCCACGCCTCAGTTGGCCCTTGAAAAATATTCTTAAATCCACGCCTCAGTTGGCCCTTGAAAAATATTCTTTAATAAATCCACGCCTCAGTTGGCCCTTGAAAAATATTCTTTAATAAATCCACGCCTCAGTTGGCCCTTGAAAAATATTCTTTAATAAATCCACGCCTCAGTTGGCCCTTGAAAAATATTCTTTAATAAATCCACGCCTCAGTTGGCCCTTGAAAAATATTCTTTAATAAATCCACGCCTCAGTTGGCCCTTGAAAAATATTCTTTAATAAATCCACGCCTCAGTTGGCCCTTGAAAAATATTCTTTAATAAATCCACGCCTCAGTTGGCCCTTGAAAAATATTCTTTAATAAATCCACGCCTCAGTTGGCCCTTGAAAAATATTCTTTAATAAATCCACGCCTCAGTTGGCCCTTGAAAAATATTCTTTAATAAATCCACGCCTCAGTTGGCCCTTGAAAAATATTCTTTAATAAATCCACGCCTCAGTTGGCCCTTGAAAAATATTCTTTAATAAATCCACGCCTCAGTTGGCCCTTGAAAAATATTCTTTAATAAATCCACGCCTCAAAAATATTCTTTAATAAATCCACGCCTCAGTTGGCCCTTGAAAAATATTCTTTAATAAATCCACGCCTCAGTTGGCCCTTGAAAAATATTCTTTAATAAATCCACGCCCTTGAAAAATATTCTTTAATAAATCCACGCCTCAGTTGGCCCTTGAAAAATATTCTTTAATAAATCCACGCCTCAGTTGGCCCTTGAAAAATATTCTTTAATAAATCCACGCCTCAGTTGGCCCTTGAAAAATATTCTTTAATAAATCCACGCCTCAGTTGGCCCTTGAAAAATATTCTTTAATAAATCCACGCCTCAGTTGGCCCTTGAAAAATATTCTTTAATAAATCCTCAGTTGGCCCTTGAAAAATATTCTTTAATAAATCCACGCCTCAGTTGGCCCTTGAAAAATATTCTTTATAAATCCACGCCTCAGTTGGCCCTTGAAAAATATTCTTTAATAAATCCACGCCTCAGTTGGCCCTTGAAAAATATTCTTTAATAAATCCACGCCTCAGTTGGCCCTTGAAAAATATTCTTTAATAAATCCACGCCTCAGTTGGCCCTTGAAAAATATTCTTTAATAAATCCACGCCTCAGTTGGCCCTTGAAAAATATTCTTTAATAAATCCACGCCTCAGTTGGCCCTTGAAAAATATTCTTTAATAAATCCACGCCTCAGTTGGCCCTTGAAAAATATTCTTTAATAAATCCACGCCTCAGTTGGCCCTTGAAAATAAAAATATTCTTTAATAAATCCACGCCTCAGTTGGCCCTTGAAAAATATTCTTTAATAAATCCACGCCTCAGTTGGCCCTTGAAAAATATTCTTTAATAAATCCACGCCTCAGTTGGCCCTTGAAAAATATTCTTTAATAAATCCACGCCTCAGTTGGCCCTTGAAAAATATTCTTTAATAAATCCACGCCTCAGTTGGCCCTTGAAAAATATTCTTTAATAAATCCACGCCTCAGTTGGCCCTTGAAAAATATTCTTTAATAAATCCACGCCTCAGTATTCTTTAATAAATCCACGCCTCAGTTGGCCCTTGAAAAATATTCTTTAATAAATCCACGCCTCAGTTGGCCCTTGAAAAATATTCTTTAATAAATCCACGCCTCAGTTGGCCCTTGAAAAATATTCTTTAAAAAATCCATGTTTTCTTATTTCTTATTGGATACATGCTGAGCCGAAACCACACAACAGAACAGCTGTATTAACCGGCAAATTGCGCACATTGAATTGTTGTTGTTGCTGTTTTTGTACGAGGACAGTACAATAACAAAAAAAATTGTTCTATGGGGTTTTGGGTGGCAAAGAGGGGGTTACATTTATTACCCACCGGTCAATTCATGTCCCAACAAAACAAAGAGACTTCCCCGCCATTTCTTTTTCGTTTATCAAATTGGAATTGCGTTTCAGGTGAACTTTTTGCTCCGCAATGGAGCCTACGCCGCTCTTCTCTTCAACGGTTTTGTTTTGCTAGAATTCTTTTACTACGCCTTTTTTACGTTCTGCACTCTTTTACTACTGTCGGTGTGTGTGTATGTGTGTGTCTGTGAGTGCGTACGAATGTGTGGTTCGCCTGGCCTGGTGTGTAAACAAGAAATGTGTTTAGGGCGGCGTTGGAATTTTTTTTCCGCGTCACATTCCATAACAAAAAAAATTTCTTATTTTTGATTGGATTTTTTCTTCTTCTTCTTATTGATGACTTACCTTTTGTTGTGGAGAACAAAATGTTCGCATTTATTATGTGGAGATTTTCACGGTGGGGATTTTAAACAGCTTAAAATCCAATATTTATTTTCGTCATCGATTGGGTTCTCTTATTTTTGTTTGGACACACACACCGCGAACGCCAAAAACAAAATTCGCAATGAATTCCAATTGTATACAAAAAAGAAATGAGAGGTATGTGGATTGCAACATTGCAGGGTTGTATTTTTGGTCGTGGAGGAAATTTTTTTGTGACATGTTGTACAGTCACAATGCGAGTACTGTACAGTACCATTTAAATAGTATCCATGTCTATACGCGGTGGATATTTTCCAATTGGAATTTGTGGCTGATTTTTTGACAAGACGTTGATTAAAAAAAATTTTTTTAAGGTTCTATCATGGATTTATTATAAAGGACAATTTTGTATAAAGGACCACGATCTGCGAGTCTGCACTTGGAATGTTCGCACGTTGTACAGGACAGGCGCACTTTTCGCTTTGGCAGATATGCTCAAGAAGTACAAAGCCGATATTATTGCCTTACAGGAAATCCGATGAAATGGGACTGGTGTAAGTAAATCAGGTGATTAAGTCCTGTATTATAGCTGCCATGAAACGATACGTGAATTTGGCAGCGGATTTATGTTTAACAGGAGAATAAAAGTCCTCGTCTCCAGATTCACTCCAGTAGATGGGCGAATTGCTATCTAGTCTCATTTGCGCCCATACTCCGACCGAAAACAAAGATGAGCAGACCAAAGACATATTTTATGAGCGCCTTGAAACAGCATATGACCGCTGCTCTGCCCATAACATTAAAATTCTGCTTGGAGTTTTTCATTCAAAAATCGGAAGGGAAAATATCTTTGGCCCCAACGTCGGAAAATTCAGCCTTCATGAAGAAACATCCGACAACGGCGTGAGGTTGATTGACTTCGCGGCAGAAAAAACCAGGGTAGTTAACATCACCAGATACAAGCATCTCGATATACACAAGGCCACCTGGATTTCTCCCGATCGAACAACGAGAAATCAAATCGATCATGTTGTGATAGGCGGAAGGCATTCATCCAGTGTTTTAGA